GTATCATTGACTCAAACCACTAACCCACCATCTAAAAATAAAAATTATTTGATTTATAAGTTGACATTAAATCTTGTATTACATTTCCATTATTGATAAAATTATTTCTTATGTATAAAACTTTTTTTTTGTTCAATATAGTGAATGCACAATATTAGAGATGTGCCCAATATTTTATTTTTTATAAATATATAGCATTAGATATGTGCCCAAAATTTTTTCTATCTTTTTTCTTTTATTTTTGTGATTCTTTGTATTTTCTATTGTTAAAAATTTTATTATTTGACTATGACATCATTTCATTTCTAGGTAGATTTTGAACTTGGCATTCCATTTTCATCATTAATAAAAATGCTTCTTACATTTCATAGTTATTTATTTTAATTGTTTATTATTTAATTATGGCATTATTTATTAATCCATTGACCCCAAATGGTTGAATTGCTTACCCACCACTGGGAAGGAAGGAAATGGTTTTGTTTTCAAATTTCTTTTCAAAATATTTATTTTTATACTATTAAAATTAATATTGTGGACTTAATTACAAGAATTTAATGATGAAAAAAATATATCTTAAATATAAGATTTAATGAGAGAGAATAGGAAAATATTTTTATTTCCAATTGGTTTTAAATTTTACATTCCATTTCCATCATTAATAAAAACATTTCTTATTTATCATACTTATTATTGTTCAATATGTATGTTAAAAATGTTCCCAATTTTTTTAATTTCTATTCTTTTTCATTTTATCTATTTTTTATTTTATTATTTAATCATGGCAACATGGATTAACTCATTTGACCCAAAAAGATTTAATTTCTTACCACCACATAGATGAAAACACTATTTTTTCTAGGTAGATTTTAAAAGTATAAGCTTAATTAATAGAGCTTAATGATAAGAAGAAACAAAAATGACTTAAATATATGATTCAATGAACATGAATGCAAGTTAATAAATTAAATGTTGGATTTAATGAGAGAAAATTGAATGCATTGAATATCTTTAAATTACCTCTTTTCAACTCATTTAATATCAATAACCGATTGCCCTATTAGCCTTCATTTTTTATCAATAAACTTAAATATAGAGGGGTAAATTTTATCCTTAGAAAATTCCAGAAATATTCTTAAGGCCATTCATGCTTTTAAAAGTAGTATAGATTTATTGTTTTCCATTTTCTTACGCCAATGTTATTTATTGATTTCAAAAATTAATGTTCCACTTCAACCACATAAGGAGTGTTTCTTATCTCCAGCAAACAAAACACGTTCCAACCTCTACCAACTTGATCTAACACCGCATATCTCACCATGAGACTGGGATCCACAACCTCCCTAATAACTTATTTGCTAAAAGACAAAGTAATAAGCTTTTTCAATTCAATATATTCGATTATTATCAAATGACTTATTTATGACTATGTAGCTAAAATTAAAAGTCCAAAACAAACCAATGTAACTACAAAGAATAAACCAACCTCAATGCTTTTAGACCACAATGAGAAAAAATAAACAACCCAAGGAAACAAGTATTAGAGAAAATATAAAATGAAAAGAAAATAATAAGTTTGGTACTTTGGATATATGATTTTTTAATAAAAAAAATTGTTAGCTTGGTCCCTATATCAGGTCAAATTCAGGTTGGGTAAGGTGATGCAAATCTAGAAAAAATCACTTTATCTGTCCTTTATTTATTTTTTCTAATAAATATAATTAAATACATAGTTTTTTTTGGAGACCTAAGACTCAACGCACCTTGAGTCTTAGGCCTTGCCCCTTTCACACCTAACCACCTTGTCTCTGCCTTTAGCCTTTAAAAACCTAAAACCTTTCTCTTCTCGAACAAATATCTTACACCAAGTGTCAAAGTTGTTGGTAGTTCTAATTTCATCTTTGATGAGGACCCAAGCTCCAACAAAGCAACAACCAATAGAGAACTATAGTGCAATTGATCTTAGTAAAGAAAAAACCAAGAAAAGAAGAACATGGGTCATTTAGTAACCATTAGCTTGTTAATAAGGAAGTTAGAAACTTAGGCCATGTTTTCATTCTTTCTCATTCTTACCCAAGATTAAATTCTAAAATGGACAAGAATGGATAAGAATAAGCAGAACGAGAAAATATTGATATGAACCAAACACTTTTTCTCCTAAAAATGAATTCTTTTCAGATTGACAAGTGTCCTATGTTGCTCATTTTCGTTATTCAAAAAAAAAAAAAATTTGTGATGGTATTCATAAACCACCAGCCTAGGTCCCCAACAATCAATGTTTACCAATTGGCATAGATGTTTTGTAAAAGTATTTCCATAAAAGTGCTTTCACAAAATTACTTTACTAAAAGTGTTTTAGTAAAGTACTTTCATAAAAATATAAAAATACTTTTATAAAAGTGTTTTAATGTAAAAGTACTTTTATAAAAGTGCTTTCGTAAAAGTACTTTCGTAAAAGTGCCTTCGTAAAAGTGCTTTCACAAAAGTAAACATCTATGACAACAAGTTTGTAGGCAGAGTTTCCTCAAATAATGAAAATGAGCAAGATGAGGCATGATTATTTTTCATGTTGTAGGCTATTCAGTTTTTGTGCTATGGGGCAGATTTTTCATTCTAAAAAGAATGTGACCCATGACAAGAATGTTGTAACCAAACACTCTAATGTTATTTATTCTTGCCCATTCTTGCCTAGAATGAGCAAGAATTAAAAGAATGAGGCTTGGAGAAGTGAACCAAATATGACCTTATTTGCTCAATAAGGATAATGTCTCTCATGAAGTTCATTGGTAAAGACGTCCAGAGTTTAAATTCAAAATCAGAATGTATTAGTTTAAGCAATGCATTTTCTCTTAAGAATGATACAATTGATACCAATAATGATATGTTTTTATAGAAGAGAGACTTTAGAAGAAAATTAGACACATAGGAAATGAGATTGTAGGCCATGTGTGGAACCAATGTTGTTTCATGAGAAGTGTTTTTTTTTTTTTTTTTCTTTTGAGAAAATGGTGTTGCATTGGTATACCATTTTCTTAGAAAAGGTTTTCCTTTTTTCTGTTTTAGACCTTTGTTGGTTGCTGCCACATGGGCGTTTTTCAATGCCATATTAGCATATTGTTATTAGCCATAGGAGAAAATACCAAAAAAAACATTTTCTCAGACCACACTTTTCTTAATTTACAAGCTGGTGTGGTACGACTGTATGAGAAAACTATTTTTTTAGAAAAAACATGTAACCAAACAGCAAGCATGGTCAGGAAAAAAACATGACACTGATGGCATCATTTTTCAAGAAAACCACATTGGTTCCAAACACCGACTTAATTATTGGTTTTAATTTATGGAAAGAAGGCAGAATTAGGGGAAGAAATACAAAATAAATCAACCCATACAAAGAATACAAACCTATTGGACAAGAAGCCATTGAGATAGACTGATCAGTGACACCTTTCTTTCTTTGAAAACCTTTCACACAAAATAAATACACACTATTGATCATGAAGTCAAGCACTTTGCTGGATACAAAAGTTGTCCAACAATGATTTTGAAGTGAACGAAAACATCCCTAGATTGAATCTTTTAAGTTGCAACTAAAAGATTAAGGTTGTGTTTGGTACAATTGCTACTTCTACATGCAATATTTTAAGTTGGTCAATACAAATTTTATGAGAATATGTATTTTCTCTACCACAAATGCTTTGAGTTATTAATACAACATTTGGTACCATTATTGTTTCTACTATAAATGCCAATACACAATCCAATGTATATATATATATATATATATATATATATATATACATACTAGTGGAAATGGTGACAAGCCAATTTCTCAAAAAGTTGTGTTGATCAAACTAAAAGGTTGCAAGTAGAAATGGCAATGGTACAAAAAACAACCTAAAACACTAGTTTAGAAAATCTAAGGCCCCGTTTGGTTCGCAAGAATAGGGGTCTGGAATTGGAATCGATATGTATTATTCCAATTCCAACTGTTTGGTTGGGCGGAATCGAAGTCTTATTCTCATTCTTTCTGAAATGGCATTTTCCCATTTGAGGGAATGGCCATTCCTGCCCCTCCCTTGGGAATGGAATCTCATTCCTGCTGATTCCAATTCTCATTCCCATTCTTGTTTGAACCAAAACCATTAGGAATAGACCATTCCAATTCTGATTCCGACTGTGAATCAATCGAACCCTAAAACCCAATGTGCTGAATTCATCAATATCAGAAAGGATACAAACAGATTGGAAATTATGTGGGAACATAAAGAATTGATAAAATGGCTGAGAATGGAGCTAAGAAAGGTGAGAAATACTGAGCTTCCGACCATCTTAGAGGAAGATGAGTTTCCCAAGATGATGGAATATCTGAAGCCATGGAAGATTGATGGTTCCTGCACGAGAATAGAATGGATAGAGGTGTCAATTGGACGGGATTTGGTTTAATGTCGATATAAGTCAATTACAGATGTATCAGGTCCAATCTAATCCAATAAATACTCTGAACCATTTTGGATTAATCCAATTCAATGTTTGGACTGTCTAATCTGTTCAAACTGATTTTAATTTAGATTAGTTACAACCCATTGGCACCTGTATTCTTATCTTCTAGGATGAACCGGGTATTGGTTCAACCAATCCAACCCAGTCCAATATAAATCCATTACAAATAAATCAGGTCCAATCTAATAAATACTTTGAACCATTAAGTCTGGACTGGTCCAATTTAATATGCATTATTAATCCATCCAATCGATCCAAGTTGATTTTGATTCGAACATGATCCAACCCAAAAGCGATCCAAAAACCGGTCCGGCTCCATTGACACCCCCTACAATTCTGTGTGCAGTTTCGGGTCGGATCAAGATGCAAATGGAAAATGGGAATCTTCTGCCGGGTTTTGCAACCCTGAATTTGGGGGTATTCTGGACTCTGGGAGATTGATTCTTACTCGATCCAATCGGACGTCCGAAACTATAAAGGGATGTTTAGTTATTGTAACAGACTGTCTCAGCTAGAGAGTGGGAGATCAGAGAGGGGGAAGAATATGGCTGCAACAAGGCTTCTCTCTGTATCGCTTCTGTGGATTCTGGTCTTGTTTGGAACCCTCGCTCTCATCGAGGTTCTCCTCTTTACTTCTTCTACTTTTTTCCCCTTTTAAGTCGATCACATTTTGTAGGGTATAGGGTTTTACAGAGTATTAATTATCTCCTAAACACGAACAATCCTGAAAGTATCTTTCTGGGGCTTTTCAGATTCGATCCATGAGAAAGACCCTTCTTTTTTTTTTCCTATAAAGATCCCTACCATCTTTTCTCTTTTCCTATGCTATTTCCCCCTCTCCTTGCTCTTAGTTTTGTTCCCAGTATCAATTAGATAATTCCAGAACTCGTTCTGTGCAAAATTAAATCGATAGAGAGCTTCATGAGGTGAGGCAAGTGGCTGCCTACTTGCTTGCATCTCCTTCTCTTTGTACTAACTATTCGAGCTTTGACTGCTTAGACATTTCTTCCCATTCTTTCGCACTTTCATGCTTGTGGGATCGGTATTATTTTGCTATACTTCTAAGTTCTAGCCCTCGGTTTCTTATTTCCTAATTATTCAACGATCATCTTGGCTTCCACGTCTATAACTCTCTTCTGTTATAGTGCTCCGTCATTGGACAGTTTTCCCCGTTAGTGAGTAATCTACTAATTGTTTTTTTTTTGGGTGCTATTTTCAGGCAAAGAAAGAAAAGAAGAATTTGAAGGAAATCACGCACAAAGTATATTTCGATATTGAGATCGATGGAAAACCTGCTGGTATGATGTCCTTGATTTAATGTTAAGAAAATACCATACATAATGGAATGAAATTTTTATATGTCATCAACAAAACCTTCGTAACACTATTTTATTTTGATGTCCATTTGACCGAATAGTACCGACTACCAAGTAATGATAAATTGGCTGAAATTTGGGCAAGCAGTGCACCCTGTGGTTCTTGATAGAATATGCAAGTGGATTGGCTTCCAATCTGAATTGCTAGTTCAGGCGGATACCAAAATCAGTAATCAGCATGTCTGACTCGGTAGATATCAAGGGGAAGTTCGTCTTTGAAGTACCGGTGTTTATAAAAAAAGAAAACTAGTCTTCTTGAGATATCCTATAAATTATGCATCAGAACAAAGGAAATTGTTCAAAGCATGTCTTCTTCTTGACACACACTCTCCCCCATACACGGGTGTGATCATTTTGATCTGAGTTTCAAAGCCAGTACGAAAGATAGGCCTGAAGCTATTATTTAATTGGTCTTGTGAGTTGTGTCAAATGTTTTGGTATTATTTCCCAAAAGATTAATTATTCTTTTATGATCCTAATATTTTACTTTGGGAGTCACCATATCACATCTTAAAGACATCTAATTTATCTAACCACCTTAGATCAAGGAGTTGAGATCTATCTAAAATGAGAGACAATGTTGAATACATGAAACTTATGTGGTGGTTGCCTGCAAAATAGCTACACACACCTTCTAATCTCAAGGAAAAAAAACCTCTTAAGAGTATTTTGGTAAATGCACCAAGGTCTAATTACTAAAGAAACCTTCATTAGTCATTATTTGGTATATACAAAGTTCCATATAATGGATTTTCCCACCTCATGATTCGGTGTGGCAACTGTGATGGCAGATTCAATCTTCAGTCAAGGTTCATTTTCAAAAAAAAAAAAAAGAAAGAAAAGAAAAGAAAAGAAAAGAAAACTTCAGCCAAGATTCAAAATTCAAACCACTTAAGTGAGAGCTCATGGACTTCAAATCAGGAGGTTGCATTGCTGGGAAGGGCTTATACCATCCTTCCACCTCTCCAGAAAAGCATCCAATGAGTCAGAGGGACTTTCTATACCAATACTTGTTAATCAAATGTGAACGCTAAAATCAGATTTTATTTAATGTTTGTGCAAAAGTTTATTTGGCATGATAACAGAAAATGAAAGTAAAATGTGCATGCAAGCTCTGGAGAAAGTAAAGAAAAATAATTATTTTCAGAAATAAATAAAGTCCTGCCATCATTAGGGTCATATTTGCTAATATACTGTGCAGCAAGATTCTTCCTTGTCCATGTGAAGCTGAAATAATATGTTTTTAAGACCAATTTTTCTGGTTTTTCGATGACATTCACTGTTAACATTTCTTGAGAGAATGGATATGAAGTGGCCCTTTGCTGTGCTAGATGTCAGCTAGTATCATGTTGCGATAGTGTATCATTGTAGTTCTTTTTGCTTGCAGGTCGCATTGTTATGGGCCTCTTTGGAAAAACTGTACCCAAAACCGCAGGTACAATGATGTTTATTGAAGTAAAACATGGGAACAGATGGTTGCTAGGAGTGCTTTTCTTCAGATTTTGTAACAATTTATGGGGAGATACTAATTTTATGCCATTATCTTTGTTTATCAGAAAATTTTCGGGCACTTTGTACAGGTATATGCTCTCTTTTTCTCCCCTCCTTTCTTTTAGGTGCTGGAATTTAGAACTTTCATCCTTGTTGAGATGTTTGAATATGTGGCTGACAATAGAATATGTGGTGAAGGATATAATTTTTTTTCCTTTTTTTCTCTTTTTCTAAGAGTAAGAACAAGTTCTTCTTGCTAGTTTGTTTTATAATGTAGCATTGTCTCCAGCAGGCCTTGTTTCCTTCTGAAACCCCAAGTCAAGGGGTCCCTGCAATCACCTTCCAATCATAAATCTTCAAAATTTGAAATCTATGAATAATCCTTCTAGTAGGGTCAGTATCTTGGTTGTTAGGTTTGCATTTGTTTTCATCCCAGAAAAGCTTATATACACTCCTTTGTATCAGTCACTCCTAAGGAGCTTGGATTGCCATAGAACACCCATTATATTGTCAAAGTTCTCATAGAAGGCTTTGGATCTGCTTCTTGAGCGAAATGATGTTTTTAATAAGAAGCTAGATGAAAAGCATTTTAGTAATAATATAAAGCACTTAAAAGTCTGCAAACCCTTTTTTCCCTATCAGTACAAGGTATACTCAACAGGCATCATGGCTGACCATAAGCCACCGTTAAAAACATATAAGAGAGTGTTCAAATCACCACAACATGTCATTGCCCAAAAAAACTTCTTGTGCTAAATGTTCTGATGTTGATAACCTGGAGCCTTTTGGGATGGGTGGAGCCTTAAGTGATGGATGCAATCATTTTTGGTGGATCCTTCAAATTTCTTTCCCTTTAGTTCTTTTGTTAGGATGATAGCAGGAATACATTCTAGCCTTTGTCAACATCTCAATTTGCAACTCATGTCAGGTGTGTGTGCCCTTGGAAACTATGGTGCATTTTTAGAGAAACCTGTGTCTTGGAGGGTGAGTTCCTCATTTATGTGAATGCCAAAGTTGGCCAACAATTTGGGTACCTTGCTTTCCAGTAATGGTCTCTATGTTGGTTCTATACCTGTTTACCATGTATTCCATTCTGGTGTTACATGTTTGTAGTTGCAATGTTGGACTGCTTCATAGTCTATTTCTTAACTATCGTTTCTCTAGGAAGGAGGTTGAGTGAGAGGGTTGATTGCTAGACTTTAATGGAACATATAAGGTCACTACCAATGAAAACAACTTTTCCAGAGGTTGATCTTATGCATTAAGTTCTTTCTTATTGCAGGGGAGAAAGGTATTGGGAAGAATGGGAAGCCTCTCCACTACAAGGGAAGTACATTCCATAGGATCATTCCCAGCTTTATGATTCAAGGTGGTGATTTTACACTTGGGGATGGAAGAGGTGGAGAATCAATTTATGGTGAGAAGTTTGCTGACGAGAACTTCAAAATTAAGCACACTGGACCAGGTAAGCTTGTAAACCCTCTTCAAGTAGCTAGGTAGTTAATACCATTCTCGTAGCTTGTATATATCCATGAAATGGTACATAAAATATTAAAAGATAGCTTGTATGCTGAAAGGATATTTGTTTATTTATTTATTGCTGGGTGCAGGGCTTTTGTCGATGGCAAATGCTGGGCGAGACACCAATGGTTCACAGTTCTTTATTACAACTGTAACAACTAGCTGGTAACAATTTTGTGTTTCTTTCCATACGTTTCCAACTGTTTGGTTGGGCGGAATTGAAATCCCATTTCTGCATTCCCCCATTGGAGGAAATGGCCATGCCCCCTCCCTTGGGAATGAAATTCCATTCCAGCTAATTTCAATTCCCATTCTGATTCCCATCTGAACCAAACAGACTATGGGAATAGACCATTCTGATTCCAATTCCGACTGTGAACCAAACAGATCCTTAATAACATTTTCCAAGCTTTTCTATTGTCTAAAGTTTACATGCCCACGGTTTTCAATGCGGTAAATCTTGTGGTTTTTTAAGGATTTTAACCTGCAATTACTTTTTGATTTTCTTACAGGTTGGATGGCAAACATGTGGTGTTTGGCAAAGTGGTTTCTGGGATGGATGTGGTTTACAAGATTGAGGCTGAAGGGAGACAGAGTGGCGCCCCAAAAAGCAAAGTTGCCATTGCAGACAGTGGCGAGCTTCCCTTGTAATCGCCCATCTTTGCGCCATCTTACTCAATGTAGGAACAACCCTTTCTTGTTTCATCCTCCGTTACAACCATGGTGTCGGTATGATATCTCCTGACTAAAACTAAAGAGCATAGGATGAAAGTATTAATTTAAGACAGGACATTGATCCACTATAGTTCAGAAATCAAAGAGATGTTTTTTGCTTGAGGGAACTGGGAAGTATTGCATTATTGATTGTGCTAAATTACAAATGCTGTCTGCTGCTGGTGGCAGAAGGTATCTCTTCCATTCCTGCTTGTCTTTGGAAGAAAACCAGTTATTGATTCTCTAAGCAAACCCATTTTCTCTGAGTACTTTGTGATGGAAGCCATGTAAAAGAGAGGGATGATCATCAATAAGCAGGACCTCTACCTTTATTTCCTATTCGATTATTTCTCGGCAGGCAGGGCCAATGAAGCATCCTCTAAGGGGGTGTTCGCCACTGTGTATGGTTTTGTTTTTGGAATAAAAACCACCACCAGTTTATGTTACCTCAGCAAAAAATTATATTGCTTTTGCTGATTTGGGGGTTATTTTGTTTTCTAAAACAAAACCATATATTGGCTAATACCCCCTAGGACCTCAAATCTGCTGCAACCATTGTCGCATACGACCTCCAATAAAACAAGGAACGCACCAGCATCTGAAGCATAAGGCAAAATATTATGTCAAGTGATTTTTAAAACACTAGTGTGTTCATATTTTCATTGGAGTTGCATGCTAGATGATGGTAGCAGATTCTTTCTCACATCCATGCATGTTAGATGATGGCAACTGTACAAATTGTGGGGTGGACTGAACGATAAAATCCCCCTTTTTTGGGTGGTAGACTTGCTAGGGATATATGTACCCAAAAAAAAAAGATGTGATGAGGCCTAAATGAATGGCACCAAAAGAACACATGGGTATGGGAGAAACACAAACCGTACGTCTGTAATTGCATGAGCACCGACAAAAAAAACGTAGCTGCATGAACTGGTAGAGTTTGAGTCACCCTATTTAGAGAGGATTAAGCCTTTTGGTTTTATTAATAAAACCCTCACCTATGATGCATAACCTCCTCTTGTACTTCGATAAATTTCTTCATCTGGCATTATTTCCAACTACATAAACCCATAAAAATTTATGAGAGTTGGAAAAGGCAAAAGTTTGACTACAAGGCGTGGCATATCTTCAGGTCCCGTAATTTTTGACCAGCCCTGTATTCAAAGTATCAACATCCACCATTTTGCATCCTTGTCCTAGGTTGAATTCCTTCATCGGGCAGTATATGATCAGGCTGATGTCTGGTATCGTTGCTATTTTCTTAAACAACAATGGCCATACCTTGAATCCCATAACAGGTTTTGTGTTTATAATCAGTTTGGTGCCATTTAGGCACCATATAGGCAAAATGATGAAAACGTAAAATGTCAAAATGACATCTTCGTCAAAGTTGCTCTCATACAGTTGAGGTATTCATGTTGCTTCAAACAACTTTAAAATATTCAACCAAACAAGAAGAGAGAGAGAGAGAGAGGAGGGAGGGAGGGAGGGAGAGGGAGATCTACATGGTGCTGACATGGAGGAAACACTTTGGAGAAACAACTCTGATACCAAACACCACCAACATAATTCTGTTGCTGCAGGCTCATGCATGAGACTCGTAGTTAAGCTGTGGTACGTAGAATGAGCAACAGACTCACCGGGCCTAGCTCAGGTTAACTAGGCCCTCTGTACACTTTCAGCGGGTGCACCTCCTCTCGAGTCAAAGTGAGAGGTGTAGCGACTTATGCCTCTACAAATCGATTAACTCTGTTCGATATAGTGGCTACTGACCGGGAGAGTGAGGCTCTCCATTCTCGACCGAGACTTACTCATTTCCATCTACGACGTCCCATATTTTCCTTCTCAACTCCAAATTGCGTTGAGTAATCACTCTCATAATCTTTATTTGGTATTGGACGAAGATAAGGCTCATCCCGAAGCTCTGTATTTCCTTTTCGATTAGGAGTTGGTTTTGGTTTTTAGAAAGTTTTGAGGAGCAAGAACTCCGATCGAATTTGTACATATATATCATAAGATATCAACGAAGGGTAGGATCTTAGGGGCTTCCAAAATTTTTTCATGGTATCAGAGCATGTGTTATTATTCGTTGTGCGACCGACGGTTATCGGCTGTAGATCTTGTTCCGACCACAGCCTATTATCGACGCTTCTGAATCCCAGTATTTCTCGTCCGCTGTACAGATACTCTGGCGATGTAACTTGATCGTAGAATAGCGATACCAGGCCGGCGTTGCGCCGAAGGAGAATCTTTTTTGGAGGAGGTACTTTCTCTTGCGCGGAATCGATCAAATGCGGAGACAAATAATTTTCCTCCTCAAGGATTCGGCGGGGCTTGCCTCTTCTCTCCCTCCTCGATCGCTTCATCAGCGTGACATAAAAGAAGCAATCTTTCTCTCCAAGAATTGCAGAGAAATCTACCTTCTCGGTGATTGGAATTTTGCGGCGATACCCAGGCGATGACTTTGACGGTTTCCGTCGGATAAGCGAGACAAAGATCTGATGAGGCGAGATTCCGATTTTCTGACTCAGGAACGATTGGAATTTCTTGAACTCCATAGACGAGTGAACGTTGATATTGCCGAGATCTATTTCGCACTCCTCGACTGGAAACGAAACCACAGTGGAATTCTCCGTCATCCTTAATGGTTTCTTGGCGGAATTTCGTCTGTCCGGCGAAACTCCGGCGTCGAGAAGAGATAGAAATGTCAAATGGCAAAGGGGTTTTGCATCCATCAGATAATCCTTGAATTATTTTTAGTCTGGTGGTCTTGAAAGGAGATAACTACGACAAAAGGGCAGATGCGGTTGGTTTTGCAGCACAAACCTCGCAGACATCGCGAGACAGTAGAACTGCTTCAAAAGACAAAACAATTGTGTGTAACAATTGTGGTCGATCTAGCCATGAAGCAAAGAATTGTTTCCAGTTAATTGGATACCCTGAATGGTGGGGAGACAAACCCCGCGGTACGTCAACCGAGCATGGAGCAGGTCGAGGAAAAGGGGGTGGACCCTCTGGCGGACGTAACCAAGATTCGGCAAAAGCTCATGCTGCTCAGTCATCGACAGGGCGTGAGGTGGTTGCTAATGCAACCGTGACTGACGGAGACAGGACCGGACTGAACGGGCTTAATGACGAGCAATGGCAAACTCTTGTAAGCATGCTTAATGCTTACAAAACCAGAACTAATGAAAAACTCTCTGGTAAGATTTACTCCACTGAATGGATTGTTGACTCTGGGGCGTCACATCACATGACAAGGAATTTAAATGTGCTTGTCGACACCTATGATGTTGCACCTTGTCCTGTTAGGTTACCCAACAGTGCGCACATCGAGGCGGTAAAAGAAGGCACCGTTGAACTTGGAAATAATTTTAAATTATTGCACGTATTATATGTCCCAAAAATCAATTGTAATTTGTTGTCAGTAGGTCGGTTACTTCGTGACATAGATTATATTGTGACGTTTACTAATAAGTTGTGTGATACAGGACTGCATCTCGAGGAGTTTGATTGGTGCTGGTGAATAGCTTGATGGGGTCTATGTCTTCAAGGGTGTGGCACCGTTTCGAGCTTACAAGACAGATGGAATTGGGTCATGCGATTTGTGGCATCGGAAATTAGGACACCCTTCTTATCAAACGGTTAGCTTACTTCTTAATCTCAGTAATAGTAAGAACAAAACCTGTGATGTTTGTTTGAAGGCAAAACAAATTAGAGATGTTTTTATTCAAAACAGCAATAAGGCGACTGATTGTTTTGCATTAATTCATTGTGACCTATGAGGTGCTTATAGAGTACCTCCATCTTGTGGTGCGGTATTTTTTCTTACAATTGTTGATGATTATTCTCGAGTGATTTAGATTTATTTGCTAGCTGAAAAAAGTGAAGTTGGTAGAACATTCAAAAATTTCTGTGTCATGATTGAACGACAATTTAATAAGAAGGTTAAGGTGGTAAGGAGTGATAATGGAACATAGTTTAAATCTTTGAAGCCATATTTTGACGAGCAAGAAATTTTATTTCAAACTTCCTGCGTTGGGAAACCACAACAAAATGGTCATGTGGAGAGAAAGCATCGTCATATTTTGAATGTAGCCAGAGCACTCAGGTTTCAAGCACATCTTCCGATCAATTTCTGGGGTGAGTGTGTTTTGACCGCAGGATACTTGATTAACCGGACACCTTCGACCCTTCTTGGTGGTAAAACACCTTACGAGATGCTATTTGGACAAAGTCCTTCTTACAAACATCTCAGAATTTTTGGTTGCTTATGTTTCTCGCATACTAGGGACTGTGACAAGTTTGTCGCTAGGAGTAGGAAATGTGTCTTTGTTGAATACCCTTTCGGGAAAAAGGGGTGGAAATTGTACGACCTTGACTCTGGTGATTACTTCGTCTCACGAGACGTGGTGTTTAGTGAGGCCGAGTTTCCCTTTGTCACTCCGAAACATCAACCCTTTGTAACCAGTCCTCCCGTAGCCAAAGAGAATATTGGGTTGCCTTGGACCACTCCTCTTGACATGATATCTGAGTCACTTCATATAGAAGTCAGGGGGAGCAACACGATCGAAGAAGAAGGACATCTGAACACGGGTAATGATGAGGAGGCAGGTCCTTTTGATGAGACAAGGAGCCATACAGATTACAGAGATAATGAAGCTCCAGCTGCTCTCAGCCCACCACGGAGGTATTAGGCTGCGGACATCGAGAAAAGCGGACCCCTAGCTATTTATAGGACTTTGTCACACACTCAGCTCGTCGCTTAGACCCCTCCGCTATTTCACCTGCATCATCTCAATCCTCAGGTACTCCTTATCCCATAACTCATTATATGACGTATGATAATTTTTCTATGAAACACAGACATTTCTTGGCAGTTGTTACTGCAGGCCAAGAATCTACTAGTTTCTCTGAGGCAATGACTAATGCTCGGTGGCGCGAGGCTATGCGCCAAGAGATACAGGCTTTGGAAGACAATGGGACATGGACCTTGGAAGACCTCCCACCTAGAAAAAAGGCAATCGGGTGTAAATGGGTCTACAGAATCAAGTACAAATCTGATGGATCCATTGAAAGATTTAAAGCACGATTGGTAGTCCTAGGCAACACTCAAATTGAAGGTCTTGATTACAACGAGACCTTTGCCCCTGTGGCTAAAATGGTCACAGTTCGAACCTTTTTAACAGTTGTTGCAGCCCAACATTGGGAATTGCATCAGATGGATGTCCACAATGCTTTTCTGCACGATGATCTCCATGAGGAGGTCTATATGAAACCTCCTCTAGGTTTTTCGGCCTCCGGGACTGGAAAGGTATGCAAATTCCAGAAATCTTTGTGTGGTTTGCGGCAAGCCCCCTAGAACTGGTTCTCTAAGTTAGGTGCTGCCTTGAAAACTTTTGGGTTTGAACAGTCCTATTTCGATTATTCCTTATTTACATATTGCAAGAATGGGGTTGTCTTGCACATCCTAGTTTATGTTGATGACTTAATCGTTGGTGGGAATAACCCGGAGTTCATACGCAAATTTAAAAAGTATATGAACCGGTGTTTTTGCATGAAGAACTTGGGTGTTAAATATTTTTTGGGCATCGAAGTGACTCGCGGATCATCGGGGATATTTCTTTGCCAAAGAAAATATGCACTTGATATTATTACAGAAGTTGGCTTATTGGGATTCAAACCTGCTCACTTTCCTATTACTCTGAATCATAAACTTGCCCTTGCTGACGGAGCAGTCCTGGATGACCCTGAACAATATCGTCTTGTGGGCCGTTTGATTTATTTAACCATTTCACGGCTGGAGCTCAGTTATTGCATCCATGTCCTGGCTCAATTTATGCAATGTCATCGTGTTGATCATTGGGATGCGGCATTACGTGTGGTTTGTTATCTGAAAGGACGTCCTGGTCAAGGAATATTTTTGCGCTCTAATAGTGATCTGCAATTGTATGCCTATTGTGATTCCGACTGGGCGAGTTGTCCTCTAACTCGTCACTCTCTTACTAGGTATTTTGTCATGTTCGGACATTCCCACATCTCCTGGAAGACTAAAAAACAACATACTGTCTCTCGTTCCTCTACCGAGGCTGAATACCGGTCAATGGCTACTACCAATTGTGAGTTGAAGTGGATAAAAGGTCTGTTGTCGTCTTTGGGTATATCTCATCCTCAACCTATACGCTTGTTTTGTGACAATCAAGCTGCTCTGCACATTGCTGCAAACCCTATCTTCTATGAGCGAACCAAACATATTGAAGTCGATTGTCATTTCATTCGCAATGAGCTCCAACCCGGCACCATTGCGCCTTCCTATGTCCGTATCGGTGAACAAGTTGCTGACATTTTCACAAAGGCTCTCGGACAAAAACAGTTTGATTTTTTCCTTCCCAAGCTAGGCATTCTCAATCCTCATGCACCACCTTGAGGGGGAGTATTGGACGAAGATAAGGCTCATCCCGATTTGATTCCCTGTATAATTAGGATTTAGAAGTTTTAGAAGCTCTGTATTTCCTTTTAGATTAAAAGTTGGTTTTTTATTTTTAGAAAGTTTTGAGGAGCAAGAACTCTGGTCGAATTTATATATCATAAGATATCAATGAAGGGTAGGATCTTAGGGGCTTCCAAATTTTTTTCATTAGGTCGCTACATTGTTAACCCAATTTCACAATTTGTTTAGAAAACACTGTTTGAGAGCTCGCATAAAAAGTGTGTTGATTGGTACGTCAAACAACAAACATCAATAGCTATCGAGAGAAAAAAAAAACAACAGATGGGTTTTGCTCCAACAGACGCCAAACATCCAACTTTGTATTGTTCAATATATATTGTGATCAATGTTTAAAGTATCACGCACGAACAGGTGTATCACGCATTTCGATACTTGATAATTTTTTTTTTTTTTCCTTCAAAAATGTTTCAGGGGAACGGTTGTAGGCTTGCCTATCCCAATTCCAAAACACCCCTTTTTGTAGGCTTGCCTACCCCGTACCAGTTAGATACATCATACATGTAGGTAGAAATAGTAGTAAAAGAGAACCAAAAATTCTACAAAATGTTTCCGCTGTTTGATTGTTTTAGTTGATTAGATTCATACATAGGACAATATTTCCACGGACACATGTTGATAATGGCCGGGTTGGATTGTATCCATTTAGTCTCGGGTCTGATGGGTTTGGTAAGAGACTTAATGGTTTGGGTGGGTTAGGTCATGGATATCCAACAGATAACCCTTTTAGCCTCTTCATATTTCGATCGATAGGCACACTCTCTTCTCTCCTCGTTCGTCTTCTCCAGTAGAAGAAGAATCTTTTAGGGTTTTCTTTGCAAACACTACCCGTTTGTATGCTCAAAAAACAACGAATCAAAACCAGTCTGAAACCTGTATCATCATTGATGTTCATGAAAATGACCAAATCCATGGTGCCATGGTAAATGAAAATGAAGATAATGGGAAAGAGAAGGGGCTTTTAGCTATAATGGGATCCACAACAGAAGAGAAGCCACAGCAGAGGAGTTCTGAGTTCTCTTTAGTTTAATCAATTAATCTGTCGTTTGCTTCTAGCTATTCCCCTCCTGTGCTTCAAACTTCTCTATTTTTGAGATTCCAAGAGAACAAATGCATTGATCACTTCTTTTCTCCCATAATTTGTAAGTGGTGATCAAATGGATCAACGAAACAATATCAATGGCTCTCTCGAAGCGGTATGCCTTTTTTTTCTTATTCATTTGTTTATCATTCACTTTTCATTCGATGATCAACAAACCGAAAAAATCAGAGGGTAGAGATGATTTCAAGAGTTTGAGTTGGGTGTTGCTATTGTTTGCATTGAAAATGATGATCACATGAGCTCCCACTCCAACATCATTCGCTGTTGCGATGAAATATTCAATTACTAGAGCCGCCCCTTCACCTCCTATATAAATCTGGTTTCTGTAGATTCATTTCCTTTGTTTTTGTGTAATTTTTTGTTTTTTGTTTTCTATAATTTCTGCTTTCTTCATTTTTATATTTTTCTATAATTTTTGCTATATTATTTTACAATTTTGTTATTTTTGTGTAATTTGTGGTTTCTGTTTTTGGAATTTCTGTGTTTTAATTTTATATATAATTTTTGCAATGTTTTTTTGCAAATTCCATTATTTTTCTATAATTTTTAATATTTTCATATCATTTCTGTTATTTTTTTCTTTTCAATTTATGTTACACTTTTAATTTATATGTATCATTTAATGAATTATATATGTTAACGGGTCGGGCGGGTTAGATTAGGTCAAGATAGGTTTGGGTTGATATCATTAATTTTGTTAAACCATATTTAATACCGAATCTCTCATTAATGTTATTTATTTAAGTCTAATTTCTCTTTCATTAATTAGTGAATTACTCCAAGGCAAATTTAAATTTGAACTTTAACACCTAATTCAAATTCTTTCTTTAATTACTTTAATTAATGATCCTCTCTCTCTCATTAATTTCATTTTGTTAGTGTAAAACCTTCAACTTTTAGATATTGCAAGACTTGAACCTTGGTCACTTCATTTTAACAAACACAAGTTCGCCAATGAGCCACATATATTTAATTGTTATGATTATATGTATTTTTTATTCTAAGTAAATTTTCACTTTTCTTAACGAGTGACAAGTGTTTATTGATAAATGCTAGAATTAATTATAAAAATTTATATACTAATAAATATTAAGATTAATTATATTGGTTTTTGAAAATTGACATTCACATTTTAGTTTTTTTGTTTATTTTACATTTTAGTTATTTCAGCATTTTTCAACGGTTACTAATTGTGCTCCGATATGTCACACTTTATATAAACCATTAAATTATGGTTTTTTACATTTAAATGATTTACTTACAATCATATAAAATTTGTAAATATAGTTAGTAATATATTTTTTAAGATCTATTTAAATTTTCTACCATATTTATGTGTGTCTTGATTTTTTGTCTGTATCCATATATATCTAAAGCGTATCTCGATACATCTCTTAAAATTGTCTTTCCAATACACCTTGCATTTCCGATACTTTGAACCTTGACCTATCAACTAACAATGGTTAGTCTGAAATCAGTATATCTATTTGATCGTTAGTAATGTATGATTTGGGCATTATCCATATGGCTGCTTTAAAAATCAGGATGTTGATCTCCTATGTCTAGTCATTTTTGGTCCAACTGATCTGCTATTAGGTAGAATCCAAAGATACAAGAAAAGGGAGAAGTGGAGAACGATATATAATAATAAGCGCATTGCATCAGAGCATAAATCCATAAACTCCAACCACCTGCGAATTGCCCTTCACCATCTTTCTTGGCAATGGTGATTGGTGAAATGAATTCATCATTTTTTCTGTTTCATTTCGCTGGTGACTTGATTTATCTCTCAAACGATGTCTCCTTTGAAGATCGACCCATTCGATCCACATTTACTTGAAGGATTTGTTCCGAAAAATCATTTGATACAAAGCCGCTTGCACAAAAACAGCACTTTTTCTAATGTTGCTTGCACAAAAACAGGGGATAAAATTATATGATACATATGTTGTTGCCTTAATTTGGTTACGGTAAGTCTGCTGTGTTCAATGCAAATGCATATATTCGATTCATGAAAATACATATTTGGTTTGGTTTTGCATCAATAAATTTTGTATCGTGTTTAGTTGTGAATCTTGTGATTGGTAGAATTGTAGAAACATGAATTTCAAGACTGGAGTCTAACTTTTTAACATGAGTGCAAAGCTTATTTCTATTTTTGGAAGTAAACCCATTTGAAGTGCAAAAATGACAGAAAAAAATTACTTCCATTTTCAGCAAGAAACAGAAAAAGTATTCACTCTGATTCAGCGCATTCTCACCCAACACAGCTTAAAGACTTGCTGATTCCCAATTCATCTATGCACTAGATAGATGCATATACCCAAGGGAGAAAAAGAAGGGAAGAAGGAAGAATGAAAGGTGTTAATCCAACCCATTTTCTAGAGAGAGAGAGAGAGGTTTGAGGGCATTTTAGCAATTCAAAAGAACAGGATAACTATCTGTCATTTGGGCAAGTCTTTGTTGAACTTATAGGCAGCAGGCTCTCCACAACTTGTGAACAAGGCAGCCACAGCCACAGGTAACCTTCCCTATTTATCAAAGGTTTATTTGAACAAAAGTTTAATATAAAGATGAATATGGAACCACATGCTTTTCCTCGGGGGTTTCTCTGCGAATCTTTCGTTTCTTTCTTGGTTTATCTGACTGTCTCCATTCTTCCCATGATACATGTTCAAAAACTGACTAACCAATATGCCCCTTGATGCCGATATTTTGATCCCTGAACAGAAGAAAGCTATAATATGGACACTTCTCAAGTCAAATAGATGCAATGTGTCACAAACCCATAGAACCACATTGCCAAAGTCTTAACCTTTTCTGAGTGAAGAAGTAATAATATAAATTGCTCACTCTTTCTGTTTTCTGCAGACTGTTGCCTTGCTGCCACTCATGAGCTGTGTATATGAAGGCACCCTCTGTTGGAGCTTTTGAGCTGTAGTTAAGAGAAAAAACAAATTGAACCATGAAAGTTGACTAAATGGCTATCATGTAAGTCTATGCTCCAACAATTTCAGAGCTAATACACTGCCTGAACACACAGTAGATGGAAAACAATATACAATGATCCAACCACCAACTACGGAAAAGTCGTCAATCCCAAAGTCGTTGAAACTGACTATATAATTTGATGAATCAGGTAAAAAGAAGAGATGGAATTGGGTCTTTTCATCAAGCTGGGCACTTCATATCATGGCTGGATAACCTGTGGATTGTATATATACTAATTGTGCAACCACATCCTACAAGGCAGGAGCTCTTTGACAATTACCTAATTTACCAACCAGATTGACCCATCTCAAGGGAAGAAATGTTTCTACTTGGAGCAAACCAAAGAAGATTCATTGAATTGCAATGACCTCCTTGTGCTCCTTAGCACTGTTTTATTACTAATGAGGTGGTAGAGCAGAGATTCATTGAGAATTTAAATACCTCGTCATGAATGCAGTTGAAAGAGGAAGATGGTATCGTAATCCCACAGAAAATATCCTGATAAGAGAATTCAACAGACAACATAACAAAGCATCACGTAAGCATTATAATATAACCACTAGCAGACCCACGACCATGACAGAACCAGCAACAAACACAAGACAACCACACACTGGCACATTAAAGCCGAAGACCTAAATCTTATCTTCCCCCTCGGCGAACACGACCAATCCGACACAATTAACGAGAAGCAATAACTGGCTACTGAAGTATGCTTAGGAGTTAGGAAGACCAACTTAACATAGGCTTGGTGGTAGGAAACGGAATTATTGAGATTACCGAATCAGGCCTCCATGTACTCCTCCTTGTCATTACTGTCGATGTTGCCGTCGCTCTTGGCGTTCGCACCACGGCGCCGATGAACAATATTGGAGAAATTAGCAGAGAGATCGGAGTAGAGCGAGACGACCTTGGAGATATTCCCATTAATCTCACGAATTAGGGCAACATTCTTGGTGAGGTTATCGGGGATCTTGGACTGGTGATTATCGTTAACCTGCTGAATCAAAACACGATTCTGATCCAAGACCGTCTGGACCTGGTGAAAGCTCTTACTGAAAGTCGCCCAGACCTCCCTCTCGCCTTCTCCGGCCAGGGCTTCGCCGTCATCACCAAATCCGTCACCACCGCAGGCACGGCGGTGCTTAGTGCTGGTCTTTTGGAGGTTGTCGACCGTGTTGGTGGTATGGAGATGAAGGTGGTCATGGGAGGTGTTGTCCATGCTTGATTCTGCGACGGAGGAGGAATCGATGGTTGTCATACATGAACAAGTTGAAGTCGTCGGAGAATCTCTTCTCAGAGACAGTCTGGGTTGGAAGATAGATTGGAAACAAGTTGAGCGGGGGAGAGGATCTCGCTTCGGTATTTATATATTTGCCAGAGTCGAGAGAAAGAACGGTGGGCGGGGCGGAGACGGTAAGCAGACTGACGGAGTGATTGAGTGAAGGTACTCCGTACTTCCGGTTCTTTGTTCTTTCCCTTTTGGCTTTTGGCTCTAGATCTTTTTATTAAGGATTTTTAACGGGATGTGATTGGATGACTGAACCGGGGAAACGTTTATTTAATTATTTGACAACAAAAATATCTAGAACGGTTCCACGGGCGCGTGGTGGATATTTCTACCCGGTCTAGGAGACTCGGATTGGTCTGGTCCTGTCTTAAAGCGGAGCTTGACCGCGGAACGTCCGGACGTGTGATTCCGGACTTCCGTCCGGTTGTCTGGTCAGTGGTCAGTGGTCACTGACTCACTGGTGTATTGTTTTCACTTTTGCTGTATCTGCTCCCAACAGACAAACCGTTCAAATTCTTTCCAACATGAATACACTTCAATGCTCAGACCGTTGAAGCCTTGCATCGGGAATATCATGAAGGTTAGACCTATTCATGGGCCGGGCTTTGCCACTTTATCAATAGAAAATGTGCAGGTCAGAGCCCAAGCCCAAGTCCGGCCCAACCATTAGCCCTAAATTTTGAGTTCGAGCCCAGTTCTTATATAAAACCCAAAATTCAATCTATACACAAAATATCTTATTTTCGATATACTTTTATAAATTAATATTATATTAATTTAATAATAAATTAATTTGTATTTTCTAATAGTAAATTAATAATTTAAGAAATAAATATATATTATATAAATTTATTATATATAACATAAATGCTTTTTTGTTATATATAATAGTATCTGGTTGGACTTATTTGAGAAAGCTTGAGCCCAAGCCCGTGAGCCTGAAATTTTGTCCAAGCCCGAAAAATAATAGGCTAGGCCATTGGACTACCCGACCCATGAACAGGTCTAATATAGGTACATAGATATTCCTAATGCGAGATCACATCAGTGCCCCACAAGCGCCCCACATGCACATCTCAACGTGCATTGGAAACATCTCTATGGTCGGGATGTTTCCAATACATGGTCAAGATGTTCTCTGGGGCACCCCTGACATGAATTCTCCCAATGCACGACTGTAAAAGGTTGTGTAAACGGTATGAATACAGTCACTGAAGTTGATCTCTTCCAACATGATTTGAGATTTTTTTCTAATTAAAGTAACTATATTCAATGATCAAAGTATCGGTATTAGGTATCATATCAGATAAGTCAGATAAGGATATGCTTTGGAAACGTATGGATATGAATGAAAGATATAGAAACGCTTGGATACGCTAGTGAAATGCACACAAATCACATAAAGACATTAATAATACTAAACCAAAAGTTGAATTATCTATGAATAAGATATAAAGACATGAGAAATGCATACTTCCATAGGTTATATGAAGATAAATATTACAATAAACAATACCGGGTCGGCATGACCCATATATTATTTATATATATAATATATAATATATTATATAATTTATAATTATATAATAATATATAGTATATAATATATTAAGAAAATAAACAATTGTTTTCAATTTTATTATACTAATTTATTTAATTATTGTATATATAAGCAATTGTATACATCAAAATTCATATAATTTTTTTTTAAGTTTTCTTTTCAATTTTTTTATATAAATAGCTTTGGCCCGGTCCACGGCCCGGCCTGGCCCAAAGCTTGGCCCATGGACCTACCTGGCCTGCGGCATGGCATGGGCCCGCATGGGCTTGGGATATTGGCCGTGTCGGGCCGACCCCCAAGTTATCCCAGGGGAGGGCGGCATGGCCTGTTTTACACCTCTAATTTAGAGGCTATGATACCAACCATGTTAAAGAACCGTTCAACCTAACAATTTAAGCTTTTAGGTGAGGTCCTTGAATGGGGATTTACTCTATGAGAAAACACAAACCAATAAAAGGTAGACAGACCATTTGACATCTTTAATATGATTTGTTGAAATTTTAATTTAACATGCAACAAATATTTTAAATGCATTGTAGTTGGACTTTTTTGCATCGCATATATCCTTCTAATCTATTTTTAATAGTCCAATAAACAAATATACTTGTCAAACACAAACAGTCTTAATTGGTCTTTAAAGACCAACTCCAAAAAGCCTAATATATTATTTGGGAGGGCTTTTGAGATGCAGCTTTTGGCATTCTGAGTTGAGCCCCACATGGGAATGCAGATAGATTTATTTAGAAAAAATTCAAAAAAAACGCTTCACTATGTTTCGAACGCTAAAAATGTGACTGAAATAAGAAGCTACTCCAAGTAACTTTTCCATAATACAGGTGCTCAACCACTACGGCTGAATCACCTCACCTTGCCTCCAACGCAGAAGCCCTCCCAAATGGGTCCTAATAATTACGCCTAAAGCAGCCTTTCTCAACTTCCAAGCATCGTCTATATTCAATTTAACAAAGTTTTAGAGTGGTTTAAGCCATCGTGGAGGAGGAGGAGCAAAATCTCATTGAAGGGGCATTGGATTATTATCCAATGTTTTTAAATCCAGACTGGACCAGAAAAACTGGGAACCAATCACTTGATTGGTTATGTTTTACCCTAGAACTGTCTATTGGCAAAAACCGTTGATTTGGTCAGCAATTTGCTGACCCTGGTGTTTGAACCGTCCAATGATTTTTGGCTGTTTTTTTTTTGTTAGAACGAGCCATCCATTTGGTTTGAACGGTTGGACCATTTGACTAGGAACTGAACCCCTGAACGGTTCGTTGTCCGGTTCGGTTTTAAAAACCTTGCTATTATCAGACCAAGTTAGATATACAAGCCATTATGGATGCAAGAACATGATTGTGAAAGAAGGACTTACCCTTTCACATCTTCCATATGAACCATATCATGATGATACTTCTAACCAATATGGAAGTGGTGTGAGTCTAACCAGATAGTTTGTCAATACAAAGCCATTAATTCCTAGAAAAAATCACAAAAGCTTCGGTGTTGCTCAACTTGAAGGCCCATGAAAGAACCAAACCAAATAGGAAGGACCATAGGGCACTGAAAGAAGATATTATCAGTAATTTCTTGATTAGCATGTCAAAGATAGAAAGCAAGGTTCAAAGTATCGGTTGATACGTACGTGTCGGGAGCTTCCCGATATGCCCCTACAAGGGTTGTATCAAGTACCATGATTTAGAGGGTAGCCAGGACTTAAACCAACCCCTCTGAACTGATTTTGAAAAAAATAAATAAAACATAAAAAAAGAACCGATATAGGCCAATACGCCCTATCAGCGTATCGGCTTGTGTTGATACTTTGAACCGTGGTGGTGGCATCCTTCCTTTGTCCTTACACTAGATTTGGCGGGACCAAGGTTCAAAGTATCGATACGTATTGCCCCTGTATTGACTGATACGTATCATGTCGGGAGCTTCCCGATACGCCCCTTCAAGGGTTGTATCGGGTCAGACCATGGCTCAAAGGGTAGCCGAGACTTAAACCAACCCCCTATGAACCAGTTTTGAAAAAATAAATATATAAAACATAAAAAAAGTACCAATACAGGTTGATACGCCCTACCGGCGTATCGGCCAGTGTCGATACTTTGGACCTTGATAGCAAGTAGAATCAAAGTGGGTAGTACTTAGCTAATTTCATCGACATTGGTAGTGCTCCCATCCAACACCACCCAAGAAACAGTTTGATATAGAGAAACAGAGGGAATTAAGGAGTTCATCTTTTAAAAACATTTCCTGCTTAGATTTGGAAAAATATAGGTTGTTGATCTAGCCTCCATCGAGTAGGTGTTTAAGAGTTTATACCCCGAATTATTTGTACTACAAGAAAAATAGTCTAAGGTGGCGGTTGGAATTGCATGATTGAACGGGTTGTTTCATTATCAAAGCAAGAGTGGATAAGATGAATGTTTCTAGCCAATGTTTTAAAAACTGACCCAAAACTGGAATTGCTTTGACCACCTGTTTTCGAGTTGGCAATTAGACCGTCCAGTCTAAATGGATTGACCCTAACATTCTAAAAAACTAAAAAATAATAAAAAAAAATGGCCCAAAATCATTGTTTGGATCGAATGGGTCAACGGTTCAATCACCCAGGTTAGCAGGTCATTGACCAATTCAATGGTTTTGGGCAAAATAACTGTTTGGGGTTAAAACAAAACCAATACCCTAACCAGTTCCTGGCTGAATGGTCCAACCATTTGAGTCAACAATAGTTTGAAAACCATATGGTTCCAACCAAGGTTCTAAATATCGATATGCTTGATGCGCCAGTAGGAGCGTATTGGGCGGTACCAGTACTATTTTTTTTACTTTTTTTTATTTTTTCTAAAACTGGTTCAAGGGGGTCATTTTAAGGCTCCTCCACCCCCTGAACCGGTCAGAACCCCGATACACCCTCTATAGGGGTGTATCAGGGTGCTTCCGATACGATACGTATTGGCCAATACGGGCCAATACATGTTGATACTTTGAACCTTAGTTCCAACTATGTTCATTTTGGTCAATTAGCAAGACAACATGGTTGCATTGGCGAGGCCAACTTTGTGGTTTCTCTAATTAAGAGCTTATAAGAGACTAAAGATTGTCGAAAATGTCACTTTGCTAACCATTTGACACCAACCAAGTACAACCTTTAATAATAACCTTTCCACAGGCCATAATGCTGGACCAAAGAGATGAAGTCCATATGCTTGCCCTTGTAGCGCCAAAAAGACAATGATCTATGATATTTCCGTTGAAGGACCATGGCCCATAAGACATCTATTTCCTTGGAATCTTAGGGGGTATTCTCTCTCTCTCTCTCTCTCTCTCTTGAGAGGGGGGAAAGTTGGTCAATAGATTTTGTGAATCCCATTGACCAAGAAACTTGTTTTTTTATTCATATTTATGTGGGGACCAAGGAAAATTTATATTTTTGGGTATCACTTGGTTGAGTGATATCCATCTCTCAAGTTTTTTTTTAGGGTGCAACATCTCCCAAGTGGGTAAATAACTTTCCCACGTAGGGAAAAGTTGTCAACACTTGGATGGGACAAAAATGCCCCTTTTAATAATGGATTTTTATGACTAAAATGGTCATTGTCTTATTTAACTGGGAAGTAAAAGAACATGGGTAAATGCATTTACCTGGGTAAGTAACTTACCGAAAAGCGAATGGGGCATTAATTTTTTTGAAGCACATTGGGTTCTTAATTGATAGATTATCAATGAAGTTATATGATATTTATGTATTTTGTTTTATTGATTGTAATATATTTCCTCACATATAACATTAAAATATGCTTTTTGTATGTAGTTATACCTTATTTGTGATTATTTCAACCGTAAATTTAGTGTTATTGATATATTTGTGAGATTTGTAGAAATTTCCCAAATGTATCTAAAACATATCCACATCTCTCTATTGCATCTATACGTATTCAATGTGTATCATTATATGTATCCCACCCAAGCTTATTTATACTATATATATAAAGCAAGGTTGTCCACATCACCTTTCCACTCCCCCCTCCCCCTTTTCTTGCTTCCTCCTTTTCTCTCTCTCTCTCTCTCTCTCTCTCTCTCCTTTCCCCCTTCCCAGTCCTCCCATGTTGCAATGGCCAATGTGGCATTCCTCTCTCCTTCACTATAGTCTCACTCCAACTCCCCTCCACTCTCTCTCTCTCTCTCTCTCTCTCTCTCTCTCTCACACACACACACACACACACACACACACACACACACACACATTCCCAATCACCTAAACCATCTCCCTTCCTAAAATTTCTCCTAAACTATCTCCCCCACTTAAAAGTTTCTCCTAAAAGACCTATCTCACATGCCCAATAAACCATCTAATTCTAACTCTATTTCCCTCCCTCCTATTTCTCTATCTCTCTATTTCTATTTCTATTTCTATCCTCTAACTTTTATATACATGCATTCAATTTTTCATCAATGTATTAAAATATTAATGTTTAACTTGAAACTTAAAAAATAAAATAATACAAGTAAAAATATCTAAAATAAAAGAAAAAAATAAATACTGCAATAAGACAAACAAAAATAAAAGTAAAGTAATCAAGTTTAATAATGAATTAAAAATCTTATTATAATATTTTAATATTTTAGTAACAACATGAGTCAAGAAGATGAATCTTATGGGTTGGATCATTATATAACCCAAAAAGAGATCGCCCCAATTTATTTAGTTACTGATTCAAATAGATCTTGATTGATCCAATTTGGTTTGCCAAATATGTTATATAAATTTTTAGAAAATATATCTCGAAAATAAATATTAGAAACACTATTAATTAACATGTTTTTGTTAAAATATTAATTCAATTGTTAATTAAATTTTTAATAAAATTTTTTTCTATTATATTTTAGAAAATTTCTATTAAAAAAAATTAAATTTTTTCTATAAATGGTCAAAATTTCACTACTAATTATCTAAATATATTTCCTATGAACATTAATTGTCTCATTTGTCTTATATCTTCAATGTGGTGGAGTTAATTTTTGAAGCATTGAATGGTAGATCAAATAGATCAAGTCCTTTCCCTAATTTTGTTAGTTTCCCAAGAGAAGAAGGCAAAAGAAGAAATGAACCAAGGGACATAAAAATTGCTATTCATCAAGAAGATGAAATTCATAGGTGGGGTTATTTGGAGACTTGAAAACTATCCAACCCGCTAGCTTCAATTACCAATTCATACCGAACTGGACAAATATGGTTTGATTAGTTCGATCCGGTTATGCAAATTTCAAAACAAAAAAAGCAAGGTTGGGTAATTTGAATACTTGAAAACCGTCCACCCACTAGCTTAAATTACTAGTTCATACTGAACTGGACCAATCTGGTTTGATTACTTTGACTTAGCTATGCAACTTTGAAAAATAGATCAAAGTTTTACTAAAAATTAACACAAAAAATCATAAAAAAAGAAAATAAGGGAAGATAACAGGAAAAATGATAAAATAATGGAGTTTTTTGAAAAAATAAAAAACAAAAAAAATGAAACTTGGTTTAGTTTTGCATGTAAATTAGGAGTGTTCACATAAAATGTCAAACCGGCCAAACCCAACCCGAGTTGGCTGGTTTTTCAAAACTACCGGTTGGTTTCAGTTTGTATGAGAAAATAAACCAACATGAAAACCAAAATCGAACCGAACCGATCCTATATATTTAAGTAATTATTAATTAGTCCCTACCCTATATATTAAATGTTGATATATTTTATGTGTTTTGTTTGAACTTTGAAAAAAATGGCTATTTATGATAAAAACTAAAAATATAAAACCAATACAAATATAATACAATGGTACAATATTTAATTCAGTTTTATATAAATTTTAAATATATATTGACAAAAAAATCAGTTTTGCATAAAAATTAATCGATTTAAATATATATTTTGATTTTGCATAAAAACTAAAATGAAATAAACTTAAATATAAATAGATATTTTAGTTTAAAATATATATAAAAACCGACCAAAACAGACCCAAAATGTTTGGGTCGGTTTTGCTTCAAGGTCGGTCAGTTTCGGTTTAGTCAATAAGTAAACCGATTAGGTCGGGTTGGTTGAAGAAAATGACTCAAATCGACCCAACCCGACCCGTGAACACCCCTAATTTAAATGTAAAACTATTTTATTTTGGATTTTACTTTATATTGTTTCAGATTTTATTTTACTTCATTTTTACTGCAATCAAACAAAACAAAGTAAATTTTGAAATAAAAATAAATCATCATTTGCACCACCATGGTTTTGCATCAATGCAAATAAATTTGCATTACAACCAAACACAACCTTAATACCGATCACTTTGAGTGCAAAACAGCAAAAATGTACATTTTTTATGTAAACTTTGCTCTCATTTGAGTACAAACATGCCTTCAAATATGTGAAAACCTCATTTCAATATGTAAATGCATTTTTACCAAAGACCAACAAAACTGAACAGAATGCATATATGCAATTAAATTGCATTTTAACTCTTCCCAAACGGAGCCTATGCAGTTGGGCTAGCGCTCCGAAAGTCCGAAGTCCGGAGTCCAGGTCTGTTACAAACCTTTTCAACCGGTTTTCGGTCAACTGTTCCACGTGGCAAGATATAAAAAGAGGCTTTTTGGTAATTAGCAACAAGAAGTAATTGACGCATCAACATGATCGAGTAGCGATGAAGGCTCGTTGCATCGCATTTACAGGTTGTCCGAATGTTTAATCATTTGAGGCAGTAAAATTACAAAAGCTCCCACGAAAATGAAGCCCGTTCATCGTTATCTGCATCTGTCCATTCGTCGAATTCCGAGGACAATACCGTCATTCAGTCCTCACACCGCACGTCAAACGCACACGCTTCTGAAGACAATCTCTCTCTCTCTCTCTCTCTGTTGATTAGTTTTTTTCCCAATTTCTGAAGAAAGAAAACAAGAGCAGAGCATAGCAGATCAGATGAGAGTTCTCCTTCGATTTCTTCACTGTTGAAGGGCAACTGAACAACCAGAAAAAAATTCATTTTCTCGATCGAGTGGTTTGAATTGATTTAGTTCGACTGGGAAGCTCGGAAAATGGGGGATTTTAATCTTGCTTTGGTAATTGTCGCGATAGTAGTCTGTGTTCTGGTTTTCATCTTCAATGTGTACCTTCTTGTCAACTACCAGCATCCCGACGATGTGAACCAGGCATATTTTCCCAAGTTCGTCGTTGTTCTTGGCCTCTCGGTTGCCGCAATCTCCATTTTGATGCTTCCAGCCGATGTTGCTAACCGTCAGGCCTGTCGGCACGCGATTTACAGTGGTGCTTGTAATCTTACCCTGCCCATGAAAGAGCTCTGGCTCATTGTCTACATCGTTGATGCCGTTCTCGTCTTCTTTGTTATCCCCTTCGCTATGTTTTACTACGAAGGCGACCAGGACAAGTCAGTCTCTCTAGGGTTTTTAGTTTTATAGGCATATTCATTAATTTTTGGTTCTTAAGGGAAATTGGGTTGTTGTTAGTGTTGATGTTCGTCTTCCTTGTGCCTGTGCAGGAGCGTAGCGAAACGGATAAAAAGCGCATTGCTGTGGGTCGTGACGACGGCCATTGTTTGTGGTCTAGTGCTTGGAATTTTATACGGTAAGTTTTAGATATAATGATGACTATAGAAGCATTCATTGCTGTTGTAGAAGTGGACTGAAATAAGTAAAACCGACCTTGAGCTGTTAATGTGAAGTTGGCATCCATGTCTCTAACATTAGAGACCTTCAGAACGGAGAACACTTTGCTGCTCCTTGTTGAACTGCAAAATCTGAAAAACAGAGAATAATGGGGACTCTTCTCTCTCTCAACCAATGGATGGCTACTGTGTATTTGTATGGGGTTCTATTGTAGAGCCCGAACTGCCTAGAGAGGGGCCTTCCTTCATGGTTAAGGAACTGTAAAACCAGAGGCTCTATCAACCTCTGTTTTACAAACCATTGGATATAAAACCATGTACTCCCTTTCTCACGGAGTCTTAGGTGGGCTTCTAGAATAGCTTGCCATTTCAGCAGTTGGTTCTAGACACTACTGGGTCCCAGTTGTTGATTCATATCAAGCTATAAGTTCTAACAATCTCCCACTTAACTGAGATGAATCTTTTTGTTTATTTTATATGACTATTAATGTATGATAAACCTAAGGGTATCTGTTCTATTCAGTTGAAATGACTATCCCAAATCATCAAAGTCACTTGAGCTCTATTAATTTGACTCAGGACCATAGATGGTTATAGAATTAGCAACTTCAACCAATATGAACAAACTGTATACAGTGCTTAGACAACCTAAGCATGGCCCATATATCTCTGTCTCATGTTATGTGTACACATTTAAATTGAGAGGAAGATTAAAGATATGTTTATCAGAATTGGTAATTTTATTGTGATCACGTGCAGTGGTAAAAATCATCACACTCAATACATATCCAATTTATCAAAACTGTCCATTAACCCTATGCGCGCTACATGCTCCGAAAGAGCTTAGGTGGGAGTCCCTTCGTTAATGGATCAGCTAGCATGAGTATAGTATTAATACGTTCTATTGACACAATCTGATCCTGAACCCTTTCCCTCACAACAAGGTACTTGATGTCAATGTGCTTCGACCCTGTTCTTGTCTTGTTATTTTTTGAGAAAAACACGGCAACAACATTATCACAATAAATCCTCATTGGTCTCTGAATTGAGTCCATTACTCGAAGACCTGAGATAAAATTACGCAACCATATGGCATGACTAATTGCTTCATAACAAGCTATGAATTCTACTTCCATAGTAGATGAAGTAGTTCTTGCAGTTTGTTTTGCATTTCTCCATGAAATAGGCCCTTTCGCCATCATGAAGATATAATCAGAAGTAGATGGATGAGTATCCTGACATCCAGCAAAGTCGGAATCAGTATATCCTATTACCTCCAAATATTCTGAGTGCTTATAAGTGGGCATATAATTCTTAGTTCCTTGTAAATAGCGCATGACTTTCTTGGCTGCCTTCCAATGGTCGATACCAGGATTCTTTTGGTATATTCCAAGCATACCAACAACAAATGCTATATCAGGACGGGTACACACATCTACGTACATAAGACTTTCCACGGCTGATGCATAGGGAATGTTGTTCATCTGCTCTTGCTTTAATTGGTTCTTAGGGCATTGAAGTAAACTAAATTTATCTCCTTTTACCACAGGGGCAGCAGTGCTAGCACAACTTTGCATGTTAAATCTTTTAAGCACCTTTTCTATATATGCTTTCTAGGTTAATCCCAGGATATTATGAGACCGATATCGGAAAATTTGAATGCCTAAAACATAAGAGGCTTCATCGAGATCCTTCATATCAAAATTGTTTGATAAAAATCTTTTGGTCTCGTGTAACATTGTAAGACTGTTACTAGTAATCAAGATATCATCAACATATAAGGTTAAGATGATGTATCTGCTCCCACTGACCTTCAGGTATATACATTGGTCAACAATATTTTCCTTAAATCCATAATTACACAAAATATTATGGAATTTTAGGTACCATTGCTGAGATGCCTGCTTTAGACCATAAATGGATTTCTTTAATTTGCAAACTAAACCTTTCTTGTAGTCTACTTCAAAACCTTTTGGTTGTTGCATGTAGACTTCTTCATGCAGATCTCCGTTTAGAAAGGTTGTCTTAACATCCATCTGATGCAGTTCTAGATCAAAGTGAGCAATCGTGCTATGACTATCCTAAATGAGTCATTCTTTGACACTGGAGAGGTCTCTGTATAGTCTATTTCTTATTTTTGAGTGTATCCTTTTGCAATGAGCTGAGCTTTATATCTTTCAATGTTCCCTTAGAGTCTTGTATGGTTTTAAAAACCCATTTACAGCCTATTGGCTTAACTCCTTCAGGTAGAATAACGAGATCCCAGACATCATTGTTTTTCATGGATTCAAGCTCATCCTTCATGGTTTCCAACCAATGAGCTGATTCCCTTGAGTTGTTGGCCTCAATAAATGATACATGATCATTTTCTAAATTCAACTCATGCTTACACTCATTTAAATAGACTTCATAGTCATTTGATTTGCCGATCTCCGAACTCTTTGAGATCTTCTAAGTTAGACTTGTTCTTCTGGCGTTGTATTTTCAGTAATTTCATTATTTTGGACACCTTGTGTATCAACCTCAAGAGTTTCAATTGGTATAGCTCTTTCCTGTATGACTGGTACAGGTATGATTACTGGATTTTCCTGAAAGGTGATCTGCCTAGATCCAGAGCTCTCACTAGAATTCCCAAATTCTAGAAATTCGGCTTGCCTGGATTCCACAATTATAGTATTTAAACTAGGGCAAAAGAATTTATAACCCTTAGATCTTTCAGGGTAACCAACAAAATAACCACTAACTGTCTTGGGATCCAATTTACCTGGTTGCGGGTTATGTACTTTTACCTTAGCTGGACAACCCCAAATACGTAAATACCCTAATTTGGGTTTCCTACCAGTCCATAATTCATATGGGGTATTAGGGATTGCTTTAGTAGGAACTCTGTTGAGAATGTGTACAACTGTCTTTAAGGCTTCTCCCCATAAATTATCAGGTAGACTTGAATTACTCAGCATACTTCGTACCATGTCCATGAGAGTACGGTTTTGTCACTTTACTACACCATTCTGCTCAGGTGTACCTGGCATGGTGTAGTTTGCAACGATCCTATGTTCTTGTAAAAATAAGGCAAAAGCACTTGGATTTTGACCTGTTTCGGTGTATTTACCATAATATTCACCTCCTCTATTAGACCGTATACTTTTGATCTTCTTATTGAGTTGATTTTCAACTTCTGTCTTGAAGATCTTGAAAACATCAAGTGCTTCTGATTTCTCATGAATCAGATACACGTAATTGTATCTAGAGAAATCATCTATAAAGGTAATGATGTATCTGTGTCCTCCCATAGTAGGAGTAGGGAATGATCCACAAATATCCGTATGTATTGTTTCCAGTAACTCTACACATCTTGTGGCTCCCCTTTTAGTGGTTTTGGTGAATTTTCCCTTTATGCAATCCACACGTATGTCGAAGTCAGAATAATCCAGCGAACTAAAGATTCCATCTTTTGTGAGATATTCCATTCTTTCTTTAGAAATGTGGCCTAATCTTTTATGCCACAGAATGGATGAATTCTCATTCACTCGATTTCTTTTATTCCCGACCATATAGTTCTCATGCAAGCTATATGGGCCATGAGCAAAGATAGGGTGCAAATTAATCTTGTAAAGATTTCTGCATAACACACAATTCCCAACTTTAATGGAATTATGGAGTAGAGTAAAACTTTTATTCTTAAATTTAAATTCAAAGCCATAGGAATCAAGTTTAGGAACTGAAATAAGATTTCTCTTAAATGTAGGTACATATAGTGTATCTACTAAGTCTAGATGAAAGCCGGTATCCAAAATGAGACAATATGTCCCTACGGCTTCAACATCTATCTCTATTCCATTTCCAACGGCTATGGTGCGTTCTCCCTTATGCAGTTGTCGGTTTGTTAGAAAGCCCTGCAGAGAAACCGTGACATGAGTTGTAGCGCCCGTATACATCCACCAAGTATTAGAAGGTGCGCTAACCAAATAGGATTCAGAAAACATAAAGGCATAATTCTTACCTTTCTTGTTGAGCCGTGCCGCATATTTGGGACATTCTTTCTTTACGTGTCCCTTCTTTTTACAGAAGAAGCAACGGGCTTTATGATCCCCATTTTTCGCAATTACCTTCTCTTTTCTCTTTCTCTTTCTCTGAGTTTTTTTCCTGAAATGTCTCTATGTGGTCCAATGGTTAGGTGAGCACTTTCAGGCATTTCACTCTTAAGCCTTTCTTCTTCTTGAACACATGGCAATTAGCTCGCTCATTTTCCATTTCTCTTTTTGCGTATTATAGTTGATCTTAAATGGATCAAATTGTGCAGGAAGAGAAGTCATAATGAAGTGCACAGGAAACCTTTGGATATTTCCATATCCATTCCTTTTAGCTGGTTTGCCATGTCACTCATTTTCATAATGTGCTCACGTACTCCACTGCGACCATCATATTTCATGGTGATCATTTTGATCATGAGGGTATTTGTTAATGTTTTTGTGGAGCCAACAAAGTGTTCTTCTACTACCTTTAAATAATCCATTGCGCTTTCCTTTTCAGGAATTGCACCACGGATTGCAGTAGAAATGGTGCTCCTTATGATCATGAGACTCATGCGATTAGAACGTTTTCACTTTTCATAAAGTGCCTTTTGCTCACCAGTACTGGCACCAGTGATTTCAGTGGGTTTGTCTGTTCTAATTGCAAGATCCAAATCCATGCACTTAGAACAATCATAATCTGGTCTTTCCACTTGTTAAAGTTTGTACCAGTTAATATTTCAATGCCTGATAGATAACCATTAACCATTGCTGGATTAACAACTGCAAGTTTCATACAAAATGTCATGCTACATAAAATACACACACATATCAATAATCTAACTTAAAAATGGGGTAACCATTAGTTAGATCTCATCAAGACCATTGCATAATCCTGATAAGGTCTTGACCCAAGTTCGATGTAGGATATCATTCCTCCATTGGCC